TCTGACTACCTTTCGTCATAGTTGTCCGTTGTCGTTGTTCAGTTTTCAAAAATGGTGCCCCCCAGACGCCACGACTTATGAGTAACTTACACTTAATGTATGTCAATGATCAAATGACTTACCTGTAACTTATGCCCCACGTGTGGCCTACGCTGGCACGCCGGCGTGTTTTAGCGTGTCTCAGCGTACTTCAGATTTGTGAGCCAGACTGCCAGATTTTTTGTAGGTCAGGCATACGCTGGTCTATATCGTCAGGGTGTGACAGGGGCGTAACTGTGTGGTGGCAGGGTTAGCTTGATTCTTCATCCAACTTAGTTTGTTCAAATATCGTCTGTTAAAAACTCTTCATTTATTGCTCTGACAGAACAACCAGGCAAAGTAATACCAATTAACTTTACTTTAATGACATTTTATTTAACCTATGTTCTATTAATCATGTTATTTCCATCCCAAGAAAACATAAAGTCGTGGATTACCATTTAAAGGTTGATTGATATTATGTATTTAAGATGTGAAACATGAATAAAATGAGTGTTAAGTAACATCTGTTTGATATTAATTGCAACAATATTTCATCTCATCTTTTTTTCCTCAGTAAAGCATGACTTCTTCATATGACAGAGGTGCTTAAGCTGCAGCAGAGAGAAAATTATCAAGCAAAGGCCATTAGAACAACTCCTACCATAAGTGTGAAATGCAAGTTTCCACCTCATGTTGTGTCGCACCTCACTCCCTCTCCAACACTTTTAGTGAAACACATTTTCAGCTTAACAAATGTTTCTGTCTTCCTCTGCAGAATCGCTCACTTAAAAAACAAAAAAAAATCTCTCCCGGTGAATTATGAAGAGAGACTTTAAGGAGTAAGTAAGAGGAGATTAAATGTTTCTCTTTTTGTTCTGATCAACCACAGCGATGACAGAAAAACCTTGGCATGTAATCCACCTGCAGCTGTCAAAGGAAAAAAATATGTGTTGAACCTGCTAAAAAAAGAAGAAAACTGTGAAAGAAAAATTACTATTTATTTTTTCAGGGTAAGCAGCTCAGATTGCGGGAAATTTGGGGAGATGTGGGCTGAGGGCGAATTTTATGGAAGCTGAAGTAGGTGACAGTTCAATCCAGGAGCTGGAAACGTAGGAAGTGACTAAGGCCCCGTCCACACGAAGTCAAAACGAACACGAAACGCTGATATTTTCCAAAACGTTTGCCGTAAAGACGGAGACGTAAAATAAATGTGAGCGTCCACACGAATGCATGAAAACGCTGCAAAATGTATGCCAGGCCTGTAAGTGGCGCTGTGGTGCCAAAGCAAAAATAAGCGACGAAATGTAGGGCATGCGCACTAATATTTATACATGGTTGCCCTGCGGGTCTATTTTCGTGGTTAAGTCAAATTCAGGTGCTGAACTATGTGGTCGATATTGCTCTGTTCTTCCTGGAGATATTCCAGAAGAAGAAGATTCTGTTGTAAGCCCGACCAGCCGACAGCAGGGTGAGTAGCATTAGCAGCAACGGCGCCATTGTTGTTGTGATGTGTCGCGCTTGCGTGTTTAGAGGCGACGCTATGACGCATGCGTGTAAAAAAAAAAATGCGGTTAGGGTGTAAAGATGGAAATGCGAATACGGCGTTTCAGAATCTTCCCACTCTGAAGGGTGAATAAAAAAATGATCGTTTACAGACCCCCGAAACGCCGGCTTCGTGTGGATGAGAGGCTGGTTTGGTGAAAAATTTGTGCGTTTAGGCCAGGGTTTGTCTTCGTGTGGACGGGGCCTAAAGTGGTTTAGGAGAGAAAAGGATGTGAGTGTGTGTGTGTGTGGGGGGGGTTTGGGGCGTGCAGAGGGAAGGCTTCTTAGCAGATCTTGAAATTTAAAAATGTATTTTTCCAAGTCTGCAGCTTTTTTTTCTTGCTACTTTTATTATTTCAAAATCAGAAACGAGTCACATTAATGCAGCATTTGTCTTTTACGGAAAAAGACGAGTTAAATATAAACATTTAAAACCTCAGCTGCTGATTTAGCGACCCAAGGCTGGGGATAAAAAACGAGGAGTGGTTTATGTCAGGTCGTTTTAAAAGGTGAAAACTAATCTCCAGGGGAAGTAAAACACGCTTAAATATGAAGTCTCTGCGGAAATGAACACGCTTTTGCTTTTTTTCTTTTGTAGTTTCTTAAGAGCAATGAAAATCGTTTAAAAATTATTTTATTTTGACATTTTGTACACACAAGTGTATACAAAAAGAAATTTTGTTTTGTACACCTCTATAGAAATTTTCATTTTTTAAAGTGCAGCCTTGATAAAGGTGAGCAGCAGTGATAAATAAAAAAATCACTGTGGTGAAAAATGCACCAAAAATGCAGATGGTTCATTTTTTTGCATCTTTTTTTTTGGACTACTCATATTTAGTTTAATGATCTATACTCTAACACCTCTTCACCTCTCCAAAGACGTCTTTCTTATTAGTTTTAAAGATCTGTGTTGGTCTATAAAACTCTGCATTGATGGGCAAACACAGAACTTTATTGCCTGGGCACCTCAGCTTAGTCTGTGGTACAATTAAAAACGTTTAAACGGAGGGAGAATGTGCCGCAGAGGCAAAGGTTGCTAATGCAATGCCAGCTACTGCTGTATATAGACAACAAGAAGCCTGAATTCAAATCAGCTCCTCTGCTCACATGTTTGACTCCTTCTGTAGCAATAATTGGAGAAACAAGTCCTCGGTGTCCCCTTTCCCCTGACAATCTGCACAAAGAACTCCCAGAAGCAGACCACCGCTCCTCCAGCCAGCTCATTGTGCATTCTAAGGATTGTTGCTCATGAATTTTTATGAAGTCATCTCAAGTAGTGTGCAAAGTTCAGCCTCTGAATTAGACAATGGTGTTTTCCACTAATCTTCTTATTAAAGAGGAGAATAAACGGAGGGACACCGCTACTAAAAGACAAGAATGTAACCTTTAAAAAGAGGCGGGTTCAAATTCGGAGCTCTGGAAAGTGACAAGACTGTGAATTCTTGATAAAGCGGATGAAAAGATGAAATAAAGTGCATTTTAGGTCAAATCCGGTTTCTCTAAAGCCTTTTGTGATCCAATAGCATGTACCACTAAGACATACAGTAGTTTATGTCACTAAGTTATTGCTCCCACATACAAGGACTTACAGTTTAGGTCAAGTCTTTATCCTATAGGGGAAGATTTTATGAGTAGGACGAACAGCTGGAGTTTGTGGGATTTAAAAAGAAGCATTTTGCCAAAAGAAATGAAAAATATATGCATTTCTGGATGAATATAGAGGTTCTGGAACTAGAGTCATTATAGAGGAAAAAAATAAACAGCAAAGGTTAGGTGCAATCCCAGGTGACATTGAGAAAAACTACTCCAGCTTCTGCAAAGTAGAGCTAAAGGTCATGAATCTCTCCATGGTTTGCGGCTCAGTGCTTCTTGAAAACTCGCAAATAACTTTGCAAGATCCAAAAATCCAATAAAATCAAAATTGCGCATCAAAAAACTATTTTGGATCTTTTATGGTTTCGGGAAAACATATAAAGGAAACTTTAGAAACTTTGGCAGAATTTCGTAGAGTTTGTTCTTCGCATTAAATCAGCTTTTAACTCCATTTAAAACAACCACAATGGGGAATATAGATCAGGGAAGTAAAGAAATAATCGACTCATAATTGCTGATTAATAAAAAGAAAGGAATACTTTTTGTAAATGAAAACGTGAAAAAATGCAATCCAGGAATTAAACTTAAAAAAAAACGTATTTAACAAAAAAAGATTCCATTTTTTTTTCAATTAATAAAAAACATCTGCATTTTTCTTTTATGAATTGTATATTTTAAAATTCTATTTTTCAAATTTTCTCATTTTCATTTTGAGCTTTGCATTCTGTTCAGAACATTTGAAGTGAAGTGAAGAAGAGCTTTAAAACAACATCTGAAAAGAATGTAAATCTTACAACTCAGTCTCAAAAACATGAATTTGAAAAATAATATTTGGAAATATAAAACCTGGCGAGGAAACAAAACATGAAAAAATATTAAAAAAGAAGAAAAACATCTCAGAAAACAGTAAATCTACTCTTAAAACCTTTTTGTTTGTGAAAAAGTTTCTGGATTACATTTATTCACTTTTTTATTTTCAAAGTTTTATTGACACAACGTGATCTTTGCTTGCAAGATTGTTGGAACAAAATTCACTCCATACATCTGCTGCTGTTATTTTCTTTGGTTTGTTGTTGCAAACTTGTGTTGGACCCTCTCAAAAAGCAGCCAAAACTTCTAAAAAAATATATTTTTTAGGATCTTAAAAGACTTCCATGGGATTCATGGTGAATAAAGTCCAGCCCTCACAAACAGATACCTGCTGAGGTTTATGGGGTTTATGTTTTCTTCTGTGTCTCTCGCTGAGTTTAGTAAAAACCCAACCTGAGAAGTTGAATATTTTTTGCATCTTGTTGCTATGTTGGTTCTGGGATGTATGGGTGCATTCATAGTTTGTGTGAAAGTATAAATATGCATCGATCTATTATTATCTGTATTAGAGAAGCCATGATGCAGCTTTGTTCTCTTTAATTGACATAATTCCGACCACACTAGCATATAAAATGAACATTGGGCTTTGAATCAGCCAAGTGCTTGTAATGTAATAAGCAGCCTCTTCTAAATGGAGCCTTGACTCCATTTAAAAGAGGGCAGAAAATATGTGTGCACTCTTGCTTAAGGCTTTCATCTTGCATATAAATCATTCCAACTCAAAGTGGGTGTTTGAGCGGCACAGATTTCAGGTCTTGGGGCGCAACGCTGCATCACCGGCCAAGTCTCCATTAATGACAGAGCTGTGCCTTGACAGCATGCTGTAAATTAAGCCAATTCTTAATATTCTGAGAGCTGATAAATGTTGGCATGGAGGCTTCTCTGGCTGTTTTTGGAAGCCTCATATGTGATGCTATGTGTTTTATTTTATTTTTCCTCTACCCTTTCTATTTCCTGCTCTCTGTTCTGTCCAGATACCACGGCAGCTGAATCCCCTGGCTCTGTACAGGTGTGAGCAGTCAGTGCTGGATCAGTGCCATGCCCACCTGTCACTGCACCACAACGTGGGCATGGAGCCCTCCACTCGGGCGCTGGGAGGTTCGGGACCAGCCTTGTACCACCCGGGCCTAATGGCTGCCCTCCCCTCCGAGCCTGTGCTGCCTTGCCCCCAGACTCACTCCCACCACCGGTGAGCCGTGCACACCGAGAGGCTCTCAACTCCTGTATTTGTGCAACACAGAGTCAGCGAACTGCTCAAAGGAAATAAAAGGTTGTGTGGGAGGAAACTGGGACTGGTAACGAAGCAAAGGAGAGAGCTAATCTACCGCAGAGCATCCAGGATCCAGGGTAATGAAAAGAAAACAGTTTTTTTTATCAGGAATAAAAGGGGTGCAGCTGTATTGATCGGTGAGAATCTGATCTACATGGCCCCACATCTCCTCAATTAGCAAAGGAGGCTGATGAGTAACACGGCTCCCCAAGTCCTACGTTCCTGCCAGGGGGAATAAGGATAGTATTTTAATGATTTGTTAATCTTAATAAACACATTTCCTCGACTTCTCATAATCTTGGGCAGCTCTCCGCTGCGCAAGTAATGAAATGATTAATGCTACTTGCAGAGTCTGGTAGCAGAGCAAATGAAAGAGTGGCCAAGCTGAAAGTTTCTTCTGCTCGACTTAACCCCCCCCCCCCCCGACTGGCATCATTTGTTTGTTTTTTATCCATAAAACCAGGGAAAAAAACATAACAAAGAGTCTGAATATAGCAGACAGTAAAGGCTAATTTAAAGTGTACAGCCTCCACAGATTCAAGTCTGATTTTTATGCTATTATGATGTGATGTTGAACCCGTTCAGATTCGTTCATCACAGCGGAGGAACTTTCCACCAGGAAGCTGCACTGCGACACTTAGATATTTACTTTTCATCGCTCATTTAAATCACTTTTGTGGTTAATGGTTTTGGATTCCATAACGCCTTATTAGACGAATTATCTAACTGTGCGCTCTTAAAGCTACATGTGTGATCTCTTTTTATTTGTTTTTTTTACAAGACGTTGCAATATGCGGTAAATAAAACTGTGGTAAATGATCAGTAACAGTGTCGTTCATCAACATGCTTCGACCCCAACAACTGTCTGCTGTGTTTAGACAACTGCGGAGGTGGGTGGAAGAACAGGAGCGCCGCGCTGGAGGCAAGACTGTTTAACAACAGTATGTCTTGTTTTTGCATTAGAGACTGACCCCCAATGGTTACTCTTACTTGTTTTTTTTCTTCTTCTCCTGTGACTGTGTGACCGTTTTCTGATGTAATAAAGTAAACTGGACTCTAAGAGCTTCAGGACTTTTTTTATTTGCGTCCACATAAGAAACTGTAAACTTTTACTGTTTTAAAATAACAGACAGTTAATTTTAAAGGTATTTGTTCTCCCTCTGTTTTGCCACAGTTTATCACATTAAAACTATTTAGTTTTACTGCTTTTCTGTAAAGTAGAATGGTAACAATACCTCATGTTCAGCAGGGGTGGATGTAGGAAATTTGGGACCCTAGGCAAAGACAGGCAGGGGGCCCTCTGAATTGAAAAGAGAACACATTAAACAGACCCATTATACAGATACAGGAATTTTTATATAATAGACATGTCCCTCTCTTCTTGTTCCTTTTGTTGTTGTTTTCCTCTCCTGTGTTTCCAAAAAGGCCAAAGTAAATAACCCAGTCCTTATTTTCACTGTAGACAAGCCATGATCTGCTTATCTGTTCTCCATTTTTCATTTGGATTAAATAATAGCTGCATGAATCAATACAGCAGACAAAATAGAGGAGAGCAGGAGGCGGGGTTACCAATCTACTTGCTCTGGAGAGCAGAGTTTGCTGCTTTTACATGTCGCCACTAAAAGTCCCCAGATTTGGCGCTAGCCGCTTTTCTTTTAGAATAAAATTTCTAGAGGGATCTGAAAAGTCGCTAAGTTGCTAAATATAGCGACAGAAGTTTTAAGTTAGCAACACTGCTCTTCGCATTGTTTGTTTTCAAATAGTTTGCTGCAGTCTGTTTGGACCTTTCTGAACATGTGCAGCAAATGGACTGATCCAATATGGTGGACACTGAAGGAGGGGGCCTGAGAAACAATTAATATCATCACCATTCTGATGGTATTTTAACGAAAGGATTTTTCTCAAAAATATAATTAATCTGCACAAATAAGTAATAGCTGTATTAACCATACATGTAAAATAAGTTTTATGGGGCCCCCAGGAATGTGGGGCCCTAGGCAGCTGCCTACTTCTGCCTAGTGGTAAATCCGCTGCTCATGTTCAGCATTTAGTACAAATAAACCTGTAGCAGAGAGCAGCTTGCATTTAGCAGCTCCTTTCTTAGGTTCAAGTCACCTCAATTGAAAAAATATTTACTTTATGATGAAGGACATTTCTATGCAGTGCTTCATAGGGATTGTTTTTTTTTCCCCAGCAAGTTATTGCAGATGTAAGCAGGAAGGATCCCCCACAGCAGCCTGTCTGGATCTGGATCCGATGAAGAGGATGCTCACTGTTGTCCAGAAAGTTCTTCGTTTTATTGAAGAATTCATCTTTGTAAATTCATCTCCAGAAGTTCCAGAATAGTTCCTCTCTTCAGCTTGACAGAAAGACACTGAAGTAGGTGATATGATCCTGCAGCCATGTTTCAGTGAAAAACAAAACATTGCTCCTTTCAAGAAAAGTTAAAAAACAATCCACTGGCCTTTTTTTTTCCCCAAGTTCCTCCCATCCAGGAAGCTTTTTCAATTCAAAATGTTAGAAACAGCGTTGAGTTCCAGGTTTTATAGAGTGGACCAAAAAAGCCTTGTTTTGCTTTAGAGAACATGCAAATTGAAATTGAAACGGGTCCATGCCTTTGGAATGGGGGTCGTTTGGCTTCTTTGTTAGCCTGCAATCAGCCAAAACTACATATTATTGAGGTGGGTGCGAACACATCTTCAGCGCCCCCCCATCCCTCCACCACCCGTCTCATACAACTTTCACTCTTTAGTCATGCACTTACAAAATACAGTAGTCATATTATAGAATTTGTCTTATGTTGCACATTATATCAGATGATCATTTCATTAATAACCAAATAAGAAGTTTAATAAAGTACAAATATACAACAGCAGTGGCACTCAGTGCTCAACATTTTCTGTAGCGCAAATATGAAATCTTAACAGCCTGGACAGCATGTCGGAGTTTTAACATTTATGACATTTAAACTGCCCATTTGTCAAGTATAGCATCAAATGATATAGATTGTGCCACACTGTTTTCAATAGAAATCACTGCTAACTGGGACAAGTGATCGTTGCTCATATTTGAGCAAAGGTATATTTTGATGAGCTTCAGCTTGCTAAATGATCTCTCTGCTGATGCAGCTGTCAGAGGCATGGTATATTACTTGAATGTTGTCTATTGAAAAAAACTCAATTAATGAAAATAGTTTTTTAAATTGTTATTGAGTCAGATATGTGGCGGAAAATCTTTGATTTGTCTAAAGGTTTTTATCTGTTACTGTGTAAATGGGTTTGGCTGTAATTTAAGGACAGATTCTAATATTTCTGCAGTGTGGGCACTATAAATCTGATAGGATTTTTATTTTTTTATTGTTATTTTGCACAATTTGCTTAACTAAGTATTTTTTGTCTTTGAATAATAGATATTTTGCAGAAAATTTGTTATACATAAATTGTTTGGATTTACGCATATCTTTCTACCCCTTTTATAGAATAGAATAGAATAGAATAGAATAGAATAGAAAATCCCTTTATTGTCCCACAATGGGGAAATTCTGGTATTTACAGCAGCAAAAGGATTATTGAATACAATTTTTCACAGAAATATGAACCTCAGAAAAATGTATAAGAATAACATAATAGTGAAGAGATAAAAGATAAACAATAAAGTCCTGTACTGTTAAGTGTTTTAAAAATATAAAACTGTGCACCTGGAGAATAAATAACCAATATATGGACATTTTTACAGTAATGGATATTTGAAAATAGCAGCAACATCAGAGATTTTGCAAAAGGCCAGCAGCATGTTATTTAACTGACTATAGTTTATATCATTACATTGATTTTTATGTGTTCATGCTCCCAGTGGTTGGCACCTTTATTCCACTCTGGATTCTCATGAGTGACGTCTTTGATCACTTTACAATAAAAAAATAAATAAAAAATAAACAATTTTATAAAAGTTCAGTATTCATTCTTCCCACCAAAGCGCAAGGGGGAGCCTAATTCGAGAACTCGCGAGAACTTCGGCGGATGGTCACAAGAACTTCTACAGCGCCGGCGGGAGTGTTTATCTTCCAAAACAACAATGGTGCGTCTGCAAGATATCTTGCTCACAGACATGGATCTAGAGTTGCTAGACACTGAAGGGGAAAAGGTTCTGCAAACAGACAAAGGAGGATGCATAGGTTGTCTATTGTAGTTGTTCCTCTGTTTTTAAAAATGCCACGCCCCAGCACCGAATCGAGAAGGACGACCACACAGACAGCCGGAAAGGCATACCAAGGAACAATCACGGCTTATTTTAGTCTGCGCACTTCCGCTTGAGGATGGAAGGTGAAGGATCAGAGGGGCGCATAATCAGTGCCGTCACTCTGTTATTGATCATTTTATGCTGTTAAATATAGACGATGCCAACTAGAAAAATAATTTCTGACTTTTTTGCGCCACTACCTACAATACCACATACACTATATTGCCAAAAGTATTTGCTCACCTGCCTTGACTCACATATGAGCTTAAGTGACATCCCGTTCCTAATCCATAGGGTTCAATATGACGTCGGTCCACCCTTTGCAGCTAGAACAGCTTCAACTCTTCTGGGAAGGCTGTCCACAAGGTTTAGGAGTGTGTTTATGGGAATTTTTGACCATTCTTCCAGAAGCGCATTTGTGAGGTCGCACACTGATGTTGGACGAGAAGGCCTGGCTCTCAGTCTCCGCTCTAATTCATCCCAAAGGTGTTCTATCGGGTTGAGGTCAGGACTCTGTGCAGGCCAGTCAAGTTCATCCACACCAGACTCTGTCATCCATGTCTTTATGGACCTTGCTTTGTGCACTGGTGCACAGTCATGTTGGAAGAGGAAGGGGCCAGCTCCAAACTGTTCCCACAAAGTTGGGAGCATGGAATTGTCCAAAATGTCTTGGTATGCTGAAGCATTCAGAGTTCCTTTCACTGGAACTAAGGGGCCAAGCCCAGCTCCTGAAAAACAACCCCACACCATAATCCCCCCTCCACCAAACTTTACACTTGGCACAATGCAGTCAGACAAGTACCGTTCTCCTGGCAACCGCCAAACCCAGACCCGTCCATCAGATTGCCAGATGGAGAAGCGCGATTCGTCACTCCAGAGAACGCGTCTCCACTGCTCTAGAGTCCAGTGGCGGCGTGCTTTACACCACCGCATCCGACGCTTTGCATTGCACTTGGTGATGTATGGCTTGGATGCAGCTGCTCGACCATGGAAACCCATTCCATGAAGCTCTCTGCGCACTGTTCTATAGCTAATCTGAAGGCCACATGAAGTTTGGAGGTCTGTAGTGATTGACTCTGCAGAAAGTTGGCGACCTCTTCGCACTATGCGCGTCAGCATCCGCTGACCCCGCTCCGTCAGTTTACGTGGCCTACCACTTCGTGGCTGAGTTGCTGTCGTTCCCAAACACTTCCATTTTCTTATAATACAGCTGACAGTTGACTGTGGAATATTTAGGAGCGAGGAAATTTCACGACTGGATTTGTTGCACAGGTGGCATCCTATCACAGTTCCACGCTGGAATTCACTGAGCTCCTGAGAGCGACCCATTCTTTCACAAATGTTTGTAAAAACAGTCTGCATGCCTAGGTGCTTGAATTTATACACCTGTGGCCATGGAAGTGATTGGAACACCTGATTCCAATAATTTGGATGGGTGAGCAAATACTTTTGGCAATATAGTGTACCTGCAAACTGAAATGGACCCGTTTCACTTCACAAAAACAAGGCTTTGTTGGCCTACTGTATAAAGCCTAATTTCTGTTTCTCACATTTTGAATCGAAAAAGCTTCCTGGATGGGAAGCGAAACGTCTCCAAACTTGGAAACAAAGTCCAATGGATTGTTTTTTTTTTACTGTTTTGTAATGACTATAACCTGGATGACTGAGAATCTTCACCAGCACATAACACTGCATTCCTCAGTCCTTTCCAGGTTGGAGTTCTTTCAACTAGTTGTCTAAACTTCTCACTTTGTCCATAATGACTGACGGGAGAGTAGCATCCCCACAGCATAATAGTGCCACCGCATGCTACACAGTGGG